ATATTATAGCCATGAAATAAAGTACTTTTTTTTTCAAATTTTGCTTAACAATTTGACAACCACTAGAAACTATAAATATATTAGTTAGCGGTAATCACATGAAAAAAACGACCACGCGGGTGGTTTTCAAAAAGAAAGGGGCATAAAGTGGACAAAGCTGCATGCTGAAGGCAACTATCACAGTAAAAAGACTCCTTTGGCTACGTTGTCTCATGAGAGCATACCAGTGGTTCATAGAGTTCCATACGGATAATCTCAAATGTATCCGCTCGGATCATTAAGAGATTCCAAAAACTTACACTTGTTCTTCCAACATCCTTTCCGTTTTTGTGCAGAACAAAAGTGGGCAGATAGGGTACCAATTCATCGTATATATCGTTGGTATCGGCCGGTTTCCGGAGATCATCTTCGAAATCGTAATCAAACGATTTCGGATTGCTGAATTGCGTCTCATCCAGCACTTTATTCTCTGTAGATTATTTTACCGCTTAACTTATTGTAGCAATATCACTCGATTATCAGACAGCAAAATATTAAAGCCAAAGCTAAGGGGTGATACGTACTGAAGGGCACCTTCATCCTTTGCGAATTTTCGACCACTTACTTTGATATTTCAGTCAGCTATAGTTCACAGTTTTGTTCGCTGACTATGCAGTTGATAACTTTTCCAGTTGCTTTGACCAATCATTATCACTGTTGTTATTATCGTTATTATCATCATCATCGTCATCTCTAATATTGTTATTGCTGTTGTTATTAAATGACAATCACTATTTATTATTATTATCACTGCTGCTGTTATTATTTCACTTTTTTGCCAAATTTATACTTAGAATGCTTGAAACTACCTAATTCTGGTTCTCCAACTATGCAGCTGACATAATTTCTCCAGATGTTTTGACTAATGTTGCATCATCTGGTGGTCCATCAGCTGACAATTCTGACGGTCGTTTCTCCCAAAAAGGGATTACTTGTCCACAGATTTTTGGTCAGAAGCATTTAGCAAGGACTTAGCCATTTCGAGATGTCACTAGCGTGTGCCGAGCAATAAAAAGTAATCTTAACGTTACGCAAGAGAGCTAAGAAGTTGAAAAAAGAAAAACAAAATCGATAAAATTCATGTCGGAAAATTGCAGAAATAAAACTAACTTATTCGGTCATTTCGGCCTTCGCTGACAGCATTCGAAGATGTTGCTATGGATAATAGCACAAGTACTACAAGT